TTTTTATATTTACATGATATTTTTAATAAAAATATTAAAATAAAAAAAATATTTTATTTTTATTTTTTATTTTTGAGTTAGAACGAATAGTTTTCGAGTTAATCAATCATATTTATTAAGTTTGTTTCCTAAATTATTCGAACAAGAAAAATTAGAACTTTGACGAACAATTAAACGAACGAGCTTGAACGCGAGTTTTTGCTCGAAAGATAAACAAACAAACACGAGTTCGAAATGCCCAAGTTCTGCTCGTTCGGTTCGGTTACAACACTAGTCAATCCCTAGAGGCTGGGGGTCAAGTTATCGATTTGGGGCCTAGGCAACCTGGGTTTTTGATTAGCAAACTTGTACAAGATGACGCAACCTAAGAATATGGAAAATACGAAAAGAGATCTAGCTCAAGAATGTATGTGGAGATCTAGTTTCCTTAGAAGGACAAAGTTCTTGTGGGATAAGGTAACTATTTTATAAAAACATAGGTATGATCATCACTGATTGCTAATCGCGTATCGCGATGTGCTAGATTAGAATTTATATTTTTTTTTTCTCGACTAACCTCTGCTAACTAGTTGAGCAACAAATAAGAGCCAATCACACGAGAAATGTGAATCAAATCGTGTTTTTTCTCATATTAATTGAAATTATTAAAATAATAGGGGAGAGGGAGTTGTTTGTGATTTAATAACTAAATTAATTAAAATACTGATGAAACAAAATAAAATAAAATAAAATAAAACAAAATTTCTAGTTCACAGTTTGGTTTAAGCTCTCACTAGACTAGTCTAATAAATTGTGACGTAAAGTTTCATTATCTTTTGAAATACTAGCCTTAGATAGCAACACAATTTACTACCCGAATTTTCTATTACAGTATATTTAGCCAATATACGCTCTGCGATGAAACTTTATTACTGGACAATCTAGAATACACTCTCTAGATTTAATGCAGTAGCAGCTTTGAGATTTAGGAAAATAGGCTAGTCTAAGAAGTAAATTTATACGCACGAACTATTTAATTAGGTTGTGTTATTCCCAATAGTTTTCGGCTATCATTTGTTGTTAACGAATCAATCTCAATAATAATTACGGATTGCAAGTTTAATTCTAGTATTATACATGAAAAATTCAATCTAGGTGATCATTCTGAATAAGATTTTACATATCATGGTTGGTCAAACAAAATAACACAAGCAATTTCGCACAAATAGCAAAATAATCAATTATGATAATCAATTAAACATAGTCAATAGGGTTCCACATTTCCAAAACAAAAAATAAAAATTAGACTAATAAACTTTGTTTCGTGATCTCACATATTTTTTCTCTGCTCTTTCTCCCTCCAAGGTATGTTCAGTGCCTTTTTCCATTTGAGTGGGCTCCCATAACAAGTCCTTTGCGGCGAAAATCCATAACTAACCCTCTTTAAGAATACAATTCCACAAGAAATACTGCTACTGACGATTTCCATTTCTACTCCAAGTTGTGGCCACAATTATATTTAAAAAAAAAAAAACATAACTAGGTGACAGTTTAAAAAAAAACATAAAAAAACTGATGGCAGTTATTTATTTTCAAATAAAAAAACATAAAAAAAAAAAAGAATGAATCAAGGAGAAACATGCTCCCGACAACAACGAAGGCCAGCCAAAAAATTATGGAAATTGGAATCTAATATACATAAAGATTACAAAGCATTAAAGGGTGCCAACTATAATTGTAAATTATAAATTTTGCTTTATTAAAAATTAATAGAAACAAAAACAGCAACTCATTTATGTTCGAAATTAATAGTCAATAAACGAATTAATTAAATAGCAATTTTTTTTTTATGACTTGCAGGAATCATTAACAGTAATCTCATTTTGATTCATTACCAAGGACAAAAAAGATAAATGAAGTAACAATAAAACAACAACATAAAAATTACCAAGAAACATAAAAACAACTCTCAATTACCAAAAAAAAAAATTTTTCAAAATTGTCAAAGAAAACATAAAAGCAAATTTCAACTTAATCGAACACCACCTAAACCGTCTCAACTTGCCAATTTCAAGTCGCCGTACATCACCAATATTAAACATTTTGGCGCCTTACTTCGGCGCTTTATCAACAGTTTTCCTACACAACTGAACCGATTCGCCTCCAGAACCATCGGTTTCTCAAACCCGCACACCCAGTATTGTCACTGCGCACGCGGCCTCATCGGGAGCTAGATCCTCGGTTTTCTCAGGACCAACAAGGGAAAAAACGAGACGCTAATCTTATGGACCAGACGGTTCACGTGTTCGGCTCTTTAGGGCGGTAAAATTCTGACCGGGCATAACAAGTAGAGACCCGCCGTGGAGTTGTCGTCGATGTATTGAGACAGCCACTCCAAATTTATCAAATCGTTGGCCTGCAATAAATTTTGTCAATTAAAACAAAACAAGTACTTAAATAAAACATAAAATTTGAAAAATTAAGCCACAAAAATATACAAACAGAGTATGGTACATCGAAATTAGGGAAGAAAAAAAATTGGGTGAAATTAGAGGCTCACTTACCGGGAAGACGAGTTCATCACGCAAAAAGCTGAGAAGAAAAACAAAAAGAGAGGAACAAGAAGAAACGTAACCAAGAGATGAAAGAAAGAAAAAGAGAAAAAAAGTGGGATAATATCAAAGGATGTGTTGGTTACAAAAATTAAAATTTAAATTAAATATAAAAACCATCAGAATTTTAAAAACCTAGAAACGTGCAAAAAAAAAGTATAATTTGAAATAAATAAAAGGAGTAGTTTTGTCTAAATAATAAGTAGGAATAAATATGTAAACTGTCTAGACAAATGGATTGGGGGTGTCATTTATTCGTCCTTTGCTGCTTCTCTTGTTTCAATTTAAGGCTGTGTGTGCCAACTGAAGTCTTATTCCCAGCCTCTTTCCTAATTAAGAAAAGGACTTGTTAGGAAAGATCATCATACATATTGAATGTTGGGCCTTTTTGTCACCATATATTCATCTTGGCCCTAAAAACAACGGTCAGTATACTCTGCTAGTCGGAGTCGAGTTTAACGTATAATCATCCATGTAACTACTCTAATAACTTTAAAATAAACCATAAATATATCATAGCGCTTGAATCGCCATCTAAAAAATAAACAGGTTGAAAATCATAGACGTGTGACTAAATAAAGTGTATAAAATACAATTACTCTTACTCCCAAAATGTTCAATAAAAAACAATGTATAGTTTCTATCACTGAAACTATTTGAAGAATTTCAAAAATCGATTAAAGATTCAAAACATTGTTTGTGTGTTTCAGAAATATGGATTTCCATAAATTAATAATTGAATTCGAGATATTGTTTGAAGGTTCTAGAAAGTACCAGAAATCATTTCTGCTACTCTAGAAAGGGTTTTGTGCTCAAGTGTAACAAGCTTCAATTTGAGAAATTTAATTTGCTGTATGTGATTGGTATTATCATATAATTACGTTACACAAACCAAACAAATAGTGACCCCAGTAACATGACAATGTACGTTGTAACTACTTTAAATTATCTCAGACAAAGTTACCATAAAGTCAAAAATCCCGCGCATTTGATGGGCACCTTTATCATTGCACATAGAAAAAGATGTCCAATCTCGAATATCCCACCTCAAAAATTACCTTAAAAAAATGATCTAATCTCATTTTATACTTAATACAATGAATATTTGAAAAACAGATTTTTTCTTGCCACTGGATACTGAAAAGTTTTCATTTTTTTCCAAGATTTATCTCATTAAAACTAAACATCAAACAAAAACTATTACAAAAAAAAAACACTATTTTATTTTATCTCACATTTTTTACCCAAATTTCACCAACACAATAAAATGAGA